GGGGGGTATCTCTGATGGTATGGGGGTACATTAGTGTGTATGGGGGGTATCTCTGATGGTATGGTGGTACATTAGTGTGTATGGGGGGTATCTCTGATGGTATGGTGGTACGTTAGTGTGTATGGGGGGGTATCTCTGATGGTATGGGGGTACATTAGTGTATATGGGGGGTATCTCTGATGGTATGGTGGTACATTAGTGTGTATGGGGGGTATCTCTGATGGTATGGTGGTACGTTAGTGTGTATGGGGGGGTATCTCTGATGGTATGGGGGTACATTAGTGTATATGGGGGTGCAGCTTCCACATATCCGGGTATTAGAGCAGCGTGCGCTCCCATCCAGACGGCGTGGTTGTCAGGGAAGGCCTTGGATACAGGACAATGATAGACCTCATACTGTATTCACGACAACAGCATGGCTTCTAGAAGAGTCCGGGGGCGGAGCCTCCTGCAGTGCGGACCGTTCACCGATTGAACATATTTGGTGCTTCATGAAACGAAAAACACGACAAAGAAATCCGATATCAAGAAAGAACGGGACAACATTCCTCTCCGAAAGCTGCAGCAACCGGTCTCCTCAGTCCATAGACGTGTACTTGTTATAAGAAGGGGAGGGGCTACACCGGGGTAAACGTGGGCGTGTCTACACTTTTCTGAGACCCGTTGCTGCCATTCATTTCCATAAATTAGCTGATTTTTTCCTTAGAATGGTAAATTTTCTTCACTTCCTGTCTCAGCAGGAAATGAAAGGAAAACCCCCTACAAAGTGAAGCGGAGCCCCTCCGAAGGCTGGCCACACACGACACAATCGGATTGTACAATCTCTGTTGGCTGCTATGGGCTACTTTTCACTTTGTAAGAAGTCATCATGTCGCAGGAAAACGGCAACACTGGGTTCCGCGCCCAACGTCCAATCAAACGCCGCCCCCCCTTCCCGCAAATCACTTCACTGCATGAACTCACGGCTTGGAGACCGCTAAATCCATGACGGCTGTACAATCGTAGAAGATGAAGTCGGTCACGGCAACGGTGATTTCCTGGAAGACCAGCGCTAATCGTACGGCGACGTGATCTGCCGAGGAAAGAAAAATTTCAGGAAAAGGGTGCACTCAATATGTATAAAACATATTGGGGGGGAGAATTGATCTAAACTGGAGCAGTTGTCCACGGCAACCAATCAGCTTCTCTCTTCAGTTTGTTTAGTTGAGATTTGAAAATGAAACAGAGAAGCTGATTGGTTGCCGTGGACAACTGCTCCAGGTTTGATCAATTTCCCTCATTGTATAAAGATCATACGAAATAAAACCAATCTTCCTTCCAGAGGAGGAGGAGCCAGCGGCACAATTGTGGGAGACTGAGGAGAGTTCACACTTAAATATTCCAGTGACGGGGAAAAAAAGTAACAAGCCCGTGTCCTCCATTGTTTACATACGAAGTCCTCTCCCTGCCGGCCCGATGACATGTATGGGGCTCATCTACCTCCATCTCCTGACCGGGCGACATGCCCAATACACATCTATGGGGCTCATCTACCTCCACCTCCCGGCCGGGCGACTTGCCCAATACACGTCTATGGGGCTCATCTACCTCCATCTCCTGACCGGGCGACATGCCCTGTACACGTCTATGGGGCTCATCTACCTCCACCTCCTGACCGGGCGACATGCCCAATACACGTCTATGGGGCTCATCTACCTCCATCTCCTGACCGGGCGACAAGCCCACTACACGTCTATGGGGCTCATCTACCTCCATCTCCTGACCGGGCGACATGCCCACTACACGTCTATGGGGCTCATCTACCTCCATCTCCTGACCGGGCGACAAGCCCACTACACGTCTATGGGGCTCATCTACCTCCATCTCCTGGCCGGGCGACGTGCCCTGTACACGTCTATGGGGCTCATCTACCTCCATCTCCCGACCGGGCGACGAGCCCACTACACGTCGATGGGGCTCATCTACCTCCATCTCCCGGCCGGGCGACATGCCCAATACACATCTATGGGGCTCATCCACCTCCATCTCCTGGCCGGGCGACGAGCCCAATACACGTCTATGGGGCTCATCTACCTCCATCTCCTGGCCGGGCGACAAGCCCAATACACATCTATGGGGCTCATCTACCTCCATCTCCTGGGGGAGGGAGCCGCTGTCACAGCAGCATGGCCGAGTGGTGAGAAGAGAGAGCCGGGATCTGACAGCCGTCGGCTCTCTCTCTCTCTCCTCACCACCGGCTGAAGTGCTTCACTTCTCCTCTGATCCCCGCTGCATACAGATGGAGGAGAGCAGCGGGGATCCAGAGGAGAAGTTGCAGGCTGTGCCCCCCAGTGTGCGTGGCCGAGCGGCTTGAGGATCGGTACATTTCAGTGATCTGTAACAATCCTCTGTCCAGGACAAACACTTTGAGCGATCAGTACTATGTGTCCCCAGTTATGAATGAACAGGATGTGCTTTACATCACTTCCTGTCCATTCACGACTTTCTCAATGGGGAGTAGCACTCGCTGTACAGAGGCTCCTCCCCATTGATGATAGTAAATATGTTCTGAATAAATGGGATGCTTTCTATTCGTTTAGAACGGAGGCTGCAGGAAAAGAGATTGAGGACTCTGTGTGTGGACTCTGTGTCCTCAATTTCTTCTTCTATTTTAAAAGGGAAATATCAGCGGGCTGTTTAGACCCCCCAATATTTCCCCGAAGCCCCCGCAA